CTTGGCACATGTTGTGGTTGTGCTGGGACTTTGTGGTTTTGCTGTCGAGGTGGGCCTTTTGCTGCAGTTTTGTGCCTTCTTTGCCTGGCCGGCGTAGTGCTCTCTGCCACTAGTCGGCGGCTTGTGCTTTTACAATATATGTCTTCACCTAGTTGTGCTTGTGGGGGTTGAGCTCTGGCTCCTTGGTCCTGCCTCTCAACCGTCCATCAACAGGTGTATCGGTTCATGTGCCTCTTGGGCTCTGTCATGTTTACATGTGACATTGTATGGGGGTCAGTCTCGTTACTTGTGTGAGGAGTCGCCACATTACTTCCTAGTGCTTTCCCGTTCCCATTCTGACACTAAAAAAAAAAAAAAAAAAAAAAAAAAAAAATTCTATCTGTGGCTCTTTTGGGTACTTGGTTTCCACCTGTGTCCCCTAGTGCGTGTGCCCCTTGTGTTACAGAGCCTGTCCTTATCAGCCCTGTCGATTCCCTTGGGTATCTTGAATGTGGTGATCAGGTCGCCCCTCACTTCATCTTCCAGCGAAGTGTGGTTTCATTCCCGTAGTCTCTCCTCATGACTTCGGTAGTGTACTTTTTCTTTCGGAAGGGGTTCTGTTCCCTTCTCTGTTGACTGGGTGCTGGGGGAGCAGCTTGCTCTGTTGCCTCTCGCTTGGTCCCGCTGTTGGTGGGCGCTTTGGGTTGTCTTCCGGCCTCTGCTGGCGTCGGAGGACGGCTTCTCCCCCTTGGGGGGGGGGTTCAGAGCTGGCGGGGTGGGCTTCTTCCCCTGCGCTTCGTCATTTCCTCTTCGTGGGTGCGTGGGGCGTGGTCGATCCGCCCCATCCTTCTGGGCTTCCCGTCTGCTCTTTGCAGTCATGAGCTTTTCCCGTCTGCTCTTTGCAGTCATGAGCTTTTCCGGTCTGCAGTTCTTCTGGACTACTTCAGTCTGCGCCCTGGATCCTCTGCCCTCCTCGGAGGACTGTTGTCTCCTGTTCGGATTCTGTTAGGGCCGGGTGCATAGATGGTGGACCTGGACCTCCAGGTCACTTCTTGGCACGTTCCTCTCCAGTTTTTCTGGGGCTAGCACGGTTGGTAATTACCTATGTGTACTTACCTAAGTGTAGTTACAGGATGAGAGCTACTCTCGTGATGTCCCGTCTTCCCAGCACTCTTTGTCATATTATGCTTTGATTATGATTGTCATATTGCCATATGATTGTCATATGTCATAATATGTCTTAATATGATTGTCATATAATGCTTTGGTGGTGGGGCTTCAGGTTTGCTGTTTTTATTGCCTTCCCTATTTTGTTAAGGGCACTTTGTATACTCTTTGCATCTTTACCGGATCTTAGTGCCCTGTCTGCGTCTGAGATTCGGTGTCTGGCCTACCTCGACGACTGGCTGGAGTGGGCTCCCAGTCAGTCCGCTTGTCTGCTCGCCAGGGGATGGTTCTTTCCAGATCGCTGGGTTTGGTTTCCTGGTGATCTGGAGGTTTTTCCTTCTGTTTCCGTCCCGGGTTCGGACCTGGACCTTGTTTCAGGCGCTTGGGCCTCTCATTGTCTTCCCTCCAGAGGTGTTACTGCGGCTGTGGTCCCGCCTTTGGCTGTTCAGGAGGGGGTCCCAGGTTGCTCAGCGGTTGCTTGGGCGGTTGTGCGGGAGTTTGCACTTCGGCGTGCTTGTCTGCCCGCGGAGTCGGGTTTGGCTACGGCATCGGTTGGTTCCTACGGAGACTCCCCTTCCGCCTCTTGCATTCCTTGGGTTCCTCTGGGGATCTGGTGTTGGTGCTGCGTCACCAGCTTCCTCTTTGGGGTTTTCGGGGTTCCGTGCCTTGGCACCTCCCCGAGCCTTCGCTCGATGTGTTCACGGACGGGGCGTCTCTCGGCTGGGGCTTTGTGACCAGTGCTCACCAGGTCGGCCGAGGTTGATGGAGTCTGTCTGTCCGTCGGGCTCACAGCCCGGTTCAGGTGTTCATGGCTGTCTGGTTTGCGCTTCGGAGGGTTTGGGTCACTAGGTACTCTACCATTCAGCTCTGTTTGGACTGTTCTCTGGTGGTTCTTGCCGGAACCACAGGGGGTTTGGTTAACCGTGTGGTTCGTGTCCGGGGTGTGTCCTGCGTCCTGGTGGACAGCTGTCTCGGTTCATTCCTCTTCGTGGGTTGGCCAGTCGTCGCCGATTCGTTTTGTTGGCTCTGTTGGGCTTATGGACTCCTGGCCATGGACGTCTTCGGGTCGGCGTGGTCTAGGCGTCGCCCATTTTGTGGCGCCCTTCCCACCTGCGAGGACTTCACGGTGGAGGCTTTCGGCAGGCCTGGTCGAGGTGGGGGGTACCTGTCCCTCTTCTCCCGGTCCAGCTGTTGCTTCGGGTTCTGGCTCGGTTGCAGCCCATTCCCACGAGAACAGTCCTTATGGTTCCATGGTGGCCGGCCCGGCCTTCTTTTCAGACGCTGCTTGATAGGTGTCCGTACCCGGGGCGTTTTTCCTGAGGCTTCGCCTCTTTCAGCAGGCCGAATCGGTCCTGTCCGTGACTGGTTCGGCCTTCTCTTTGGCTCTTCGCGTCTGGTATTTTGACGCAGGTATCACCATCTCTATGGTGTTCTGGTGGCTTTGTTGACGGTGTCCCACCTGTGAGCTTCGTCTTGGAGACAGTATGACGTTTATTACGTTTTCTCGCGTTTTGTTTCCCCTCCGGCCTGCTCATGAGTCGCCTGAGCCATCCTGGTCCTTGTTCAGGGTGCCTTCTTATCTTCCCCTCAGTTTGTGGTAGCCCTTTCGGTTTCAGTTTCCTCCTCTTTGGTACTGGTGGTAGCTTTATTGGTGTGCAGCCTTTCTCTGTCCTGGCGACGGTCGAGACGGCTGCTTTCCGGAGGGGTTCTTGGGGTATTGGTACTTGTTTGGTTTGGCCGGGGGGTGCGTCCTGTGTTGTCCGGTTGTGCTTTTTGCTGTTGCCGGTGTACCGTGTCTGGGGATGCACTGTGGTTGATCCGGTTCCTTCGTTCCCTGTTTTCAGGGCTCGGGTCTCCCAGGTCGTCCGCAGTGTTTTCCTTCTTCCTGCGGTCTGTCTTTGCGCCCGTGCTGTTCAGACGTTTGCAGCATTTGCTGCTGTGTTGGTGACGTCTCGGGCTCGTTTCGGGCGCAGGGATTTGTGGGTCGCACAGGTTTTTGGCCGCCCATCCATATGTGCGTCTGTTCTTGGGCGTTCTTGTTGCCTTGGGTCGCAGGTTTGCGACCGGTTGTCTTGGCTTTGCGTTGCAGAGTTTGTGGCGGCCGCCTCCCGGGTTAGCCCTTTCTTTTCCTTCTCTTTGGGTACGAAGCTCCAGGGAGCCGTAGGGGCTCCCCACAGAAAACCAGCGTTGAATGTAATGAAACGCCATTTTCTGGGTGAGCCCCGGAGGCTCCCTGGAAACCCTCCCTCCCACCGGTCGGCGTTTTTTTTCGCGTTGGTTGAAGCTTAGCTTCCGAACTGGAGCTTGGCAGCCGGCGCGGTAGGTCCGGGGCTCCCCCCTCCCCCTCCCGGGGTGGGGAGGGCTGCGCGGACGATCGGCGCGGCAGTAAAGTGTGATGTTTGCTTGTTTGCTTGTTTCCTTGGGATTGTAGGGAGTTTTCTACCTCTCTGTTCGGTTTTTGTTGTAGTTTCTTACCATGTGGGGTTTGTTTTGTTACGCCTACCTTTCTGGGTGCCTAACCCCGGTCGATGGCAGATAAGGAAAACCCCCAACCATATGGGGTTTTCCAGGGCCATTGCTCCCTGAAACCTCTCTGAAGGGGCCAGGTTCTGGCGCTGGTCCCTGGTAGGTCTGAACTCCTTAGCTAATGTCCCGGTCTAACATAACATACATTAGCCCGATAGCTCCAGGGATCCGGGGCTCACCCAGAAAATGGCGTTTCATTACATTCAACGCTGGTTTTTTTCAGTTTTTTTTTTTTTTTTTTTCCGGACGATTGCATGAAACTCAGCCATGTCCTCACCTTGATTAAGGAAAAGGTTGGTAATCCATAATTTTTGGGGAGAACATCTTTATCGTCAAAGTGAGGAATATTAGGAATAAAATCGTCACCATCACTCCAGACAAGTACACCAGGCATCCTGCGAGATGCAGAGGAAAAACGGCGAGGAAGCGATGCATACCGGTGACCAGGAGCTGAATACCATCTGCGAGAAGCACGGCGGCTACGTGCACGTGAGGTGGGTGCACGTGAGGTGGGTGCACGTGAGGTGGGTGCACGTGAGGTGGGTGCACGTGAGGTGGATGCACGTGAACACGAGGTTCTTGGTCCCTCATGTGGTGCCATGTGGTGGCGCTTGACTGGGCGAGATGCTGCTGACGCGACAATTTCTCACCCAGTTACACCACTGGTACCAGCCACATGCTCAATAAAACTATGATCTGAGTCACTAAACCCAGAAAAGGAGTCACCTCCCTCTGACTCGTCACCCTCAAATAGTAAATATCCACAAGAACTGTGAGGTCGTGGTAGAAGTACAGTAGAAACTGGCCGAGGAGGCATGGGTGAGTGTGGAGGCCTCGCCATGGCATGGCAGTCATTGTCACTCTCACTGTTTCTGCTACTATCAGCCGACAACTGTGTATAATCCTCATCGTTGTCCGAATCATCAAACACACTTTCTTCACCTTCAGAGAATAATTCGTGGGCTATTTGCTCTGGGGGTGAGGGATTGAGTGGTACGTGCCCGAGAGGAGTTTGACCGTGCGCTCGCCATGGTGACTCTCGCTAAACTGATGCCTCCCACGCCTTCGGTTAATGAGCGGGAATTTTTTTCAAAATGGCCGCTGTTTACTATAGCCCCTGGGCAGCGTATGGGAACCCTAGCTACACCGCGGGACATTCAAATCGTGCGCGGTACCCATATACGTCATATGACGTGAAGCGCAGTTGACTGGTACAACGTTTAACACGTCATATGACGTGATGCGCACTTTAAGGGTTAAATGCTCAATCACATTAAATTTTAGGTCATAATATTTACAGATTTCTAACTGTTGCTTCTCTCTTACAGGAAGATATTGATTGTCTTCTCGCCAAATTTGTTGCCGAGGATAAAGCCAAACTTGCTGTGACAGAAGACTTGGTGCCACCTCCATCAAAGCGAACGGCATTCTCTCTTACACCACATCCAGACAAGGACCAGCTCATTCTCTTTGGTGGAGAGTACTTTAATGGCAATACGGTATGGTCTAGTGTATGTTGGCTCAGTTTATTATAAGAGTTTGTAATGTTTAGTGTTGTCCTTTTAACAGTAGAGTAATGCTGAATAACTTTTCTCATTGAGAAATGCACAGATAACAGTAACCCAGTTAATACACATAGGGAAGAATTTTGGCCTCTAAATGATAGATGAGATTTATAACTTGTCTGTGGCTAGATGAGTTGAGTCTTACTACAGTTTATGTACAAAATAATTCCCATTATCAGGGACAGAAAGCCTGCACTTAAGTGTGCCGATGACCCTCTTGGGTCATCGTGACCATTCCAAGGATGCAAGCAACAACAGTTGCCTAACTCCCAGGTAACTGTTTACTGCACTGGGATTACAAGCATCATATGAAAAGAAACATGCCCAACCGTTTCTACCCTGCCCTCTAATTGAACCTGGTGTAATGTGTCGTAAATGGAGTAAAGACAGACAATGCAGGAGTGAGGTGGAAGGGTAGAGTGTGAGGAATAGTCAGGTTAAGGGGACTGTGCAGAACGAGGAAGAAAATGGGATGGAGGATAGAGTTGGAGAGAGGGACAGAAGGGGTAGAGGAAAATGAGTGGAAAGAGTTAGAAAGAAGGGCTAGCATGAGTTAGTAGATAAAGAGGTATATAGAAAGGGTAGAAGAGGTAGAAAGAAAGGGTAGAAGTGCTGCCACCATCCATTCAGAATGATTTAAAATACAAGGAATGGAACTTCTCTTTAATTAGTTAACAGGTATGAAATTGCAACCATATAAAGCATGGCGTTAATCATTAACCCTTAAATGGCGCATGGCTATATACCATTTGACACCCACATACAAAAAAAAAAAAAAATCTTTTTTCTTCCTAACCTGTCAATTTGTGTTCACTGATCATGGGAAAAATAATAAAAAAATCGTAAGTGGCATATATTGCCCGCTATAAGGTGGGGAAGTCTGGCAAAAAACAGGCGCTGACTTAGCGTGCGTCCCAGGCAGTCTGTTGCTCGCCAGCTGTCAGGCCGGAGTTGCCACAAAGAGATAATTACTTAATTATTTCAATGTCTCTGATTTTTCGTAGTTTTTTTGCTGTAATATTATTCAATAGTGTGTAGTGTGATTTATTTATACAATAAAATGAGTGAATCTTCGCTGTACTCAAAAATATGGTGTGCATATTGTTGATTCAATTATGTTCATCAAACAGTGAACAAATACTTTGTCGGTTATTACACTATATACACAGGTTATATATAAGTATCTGCATGTTTTGTTCACCATAACAAACCACTAAGTTGCTATTATGAGTCAAAAAGTAACAAGGAGTGACCGCCACACACCAGCCAGCCAGCCAGCCAGCCAGCCAGCCAGCCAGCCAGCCAGCCAGCCAGCCAGCCAGCCAGCCAGCCAGCCAGCCAGCCAGCCAGCCAGCCAGCCAGCCAGCCACTCACTCCCTCCCTCAACACCTCACTCACCCACATTCTCCTCCCACCATACTGTTTTTGCTTTTATTCACTATACAGTATACAGACGTTACATATAAGTATCTACATTCGTGTTCACCATAACGAACCACTTAGTTGGCATGCTGAGTGGCAGTGCCAGTGGCAGCCCGCCACTGGCTGCTACTTCCTCCCTCCCTCAGGTCACGTGACTCACCCACATTCTCCTCCCACAATACTGTTTTTTCTTTTATTCACTATATACAGATGTTATATACTGTATAAGTATCTACATTCATGTTCACCATAACGAACCACTAAGTTGGTATGCCAAGTGGCAGTGGCAGCCTGCCACTGGCTGCCACTCCCTCCCTCCCTCACCTCACCTGACTTGCCACCATTCTCCTCCCACCATACTGATTTTGCTTTTATATACAGACGTTATATATATGTATTTACATGTTTTGTTCACCATAACTGTACATCTAAGCTTGTATGGTGAGTAAAGGCACAAAGACGTAGCTACTCACACAGTCAGCTGATGGCTGCCGCCCTCAAGGCCAGACGCACTAATATTTCTCCTCCAACAATACTGTTTGTGGTGTTATTACGCTGTATACACACACATTATATATAAATATCTATCTGTTTTATTCACCATACTTGTACAAGTAAACTGGTATGGTGCCCAAAGACCATCGTGGTCACCAGTAAACAACATGATAAGTCGTGCAGACGACACCACCGGCCTCGCCAAAATGGCAGCTCCCAACCTACTCCTCTTGCTGTTTATACCCTCTATACACACGTTATATATAAGTATCTACATTTGTGTTTACCATAGAGAACCACTAAGCTGGTATGGTGAGTGCAGTCAATAAAAGGTGGCCACACACAGTCAGAAGACAGTGCCACTACCCTCCCCTCCCACAGCATTACTCCTCCCTCCATGGAGCACAGTGCTAAATATCACCACAATCCTACTATTATCAGAACCCTGGTCAGTTTTATCACAGTCAGGGGTCTTCTGTAATAATATCATCACTACATAATAGCATGAACAAGTATATTATGACATTTTTAGGCGATGCTGTGGTCACAAGCTGAACAGCAGTGCTGTGAGCTCATGCTTTGTCAGGCTTGGTAGCTCACTCAATACTGAGGCCCCTAACACCCAGGAATTTGCCCCATGATTTAAAAAAAAAGGCGTCTGTTTACAAGAGCCCTGATGAAGGTGTGGTGAACCCCGTGTATCCGCGGGCCGTTTAAATCTTGCGTAGTACTCCAAAGCATCATATGATGCAATGCGCAATTTAAGGGTTAAGTAATCTTTAGAGTGCTCTCCACTCTACTGTCAGTCAACCAATAGATCACACATCTTAGTTTATCATATTTAAGATAATTAAAATGACTTGCACAATGAACTCACATTAATGTGCTGTATCAATGAGAAAATCAGTAAGAGCTATAAAAGGGGATTGGAACCCTCTCACCTGGTACTCCCAAGATAGTGCCCTAAACCACTACACTTGTACATCAATCTTAAAAACTCACTAAAGTCTCCGAATATAGGATGGTTAGAGTGGGGCGGTTATCTTGAGATAATTTCGGGGCTTAGCGTCCATGCGGCCTGGTCCTCGACCAGGCCTCCTCCTTGTTACACACCCCTAGGAAATAGCCTGTAACAGCTGTTTAACTCCCAGGTATCTATTTACTGCTAGGGGAACAGGGGCACCAGGATGAGAGAAACTGCCCATTTTGTTTCTACCTCCACTGGGGATCGAACCCGGAACTTCAGAACTGCGAATCCAAAGCACTGTCCACTCAGCTATCAGGCCCCCCTATAGGGGGATGATATGGTTGACAGTCGAGGCCCCCCAACCGACCTGGGACAGACATTAATAAACTCTGGCCTGCTACTGCTGGAACCTTTTTGGTGTAGTGAGGCTCCTCTCTTATCTTCCCAAATGTTCTAAAGCTTGAGTGTTAAGGAGGGAACTCGGAGCTGAGTCCCATCTACCAGGAGATAGCCTCTGGTTATCATCCTACCATACCTAGACAGCGGCTTGTTTGATGGGCTGAACGCAACCACCCGTGTGCAATTATCAACTTCGCAGAAGGCAAGGTCACATGACACGACCTGACCTCGCAGGACCTGTGAACATTAACTCTACTGAAGGTGTGACTGGACTATCGTCAAGGATCGACACCCGTGCGCCGCCAACATCTAGTGTGAACTGACTTTACTTGTGTTAGTGAATATATATCGAGACCATTTATGGTGCGACACTGAGTCCCTCAGTTCGGGGCCAAGGACATACACATCTGTGCTGTTGTGGCAGTTGTGCATTTTTCCCTACATAAATGAGGTAAAGGATAATCAGTCTGTAGTTGTTGATGTACAGTACAACCTTGATTCAATGTACCCCGATTCAACGAATCTCAGGCTAGTTCGCACACTTTTCAGGCCGGATTTACGCACCCGGTTCGACGAACAATGGTTTGCCGAAGCGGGGGATGTTCGGATTTGCTTATGATGTCGAGAGGGTTCACAGACTGGTAGAAAACTTTCCCATTCTATCACAGATTGCATTTAATAATTCGCTCATATGACAAGTTCAATCACACAAGTGGACCACACAAGTAGACTGCACAAGTGGTCCACAAGTGGTCCACAAGCTTACAATATTGGGACAGAGTTCACAGAGTGGTGGAAAACTGTCTCATTCTATCTACAATTAATAATTCCTTCATAAGACAAGTTGGATCACACAAATGGACCACACAATAAGTGAACCATATGAACCAAACACCAGCCAGAATGGTCCACACAACAAGTAATGCATATTAACCAAACACCAGCCAGGGACTGTACCTCAGGGTACAGTCCTTGCACCGCTGCTTTTCCTTATTCTCATATCAGATATAGACAAAAATACAAGTCACAGTTTCGTATCATCCTTTGCAGATGACACAAAAATTAGTATGAAAATTACCTCGGCTGAAGACATTGAAAAACTTCAAGCTGATATTAATAAAGTTTTCGACTGGGCATCAGAAAATAACATGATGTTTAACAGTGATAAATTCCAGGTACTCAGGTACGGTAAAAATGAGGACCTTAAACATAATACAGAGTACAAAACACAATCAAATGTACCCATAGTAGGAAAACAGCATGTAAAGGATTTTGGAATAATAATGTCTGACGACCTAACGTTTAAGGAGCATAACCAAGCAAATATTGCGACAGCCAGAAAAATGATAGGATGGATTACGAGAACTTTCAAATCCAGGGATCCCATCACAATGGTTGTACTCTTCAAGTCACTTGTGTTGTCCCGTCTTGAGTACTGCTCAGTACTCACTTCCCCTTCAGAGCAGGAGAGATTGCTGAAATAGAGGGAATACAGAGAACATATACGGCACGCATAGGCGCAATAAAGCACCTAAATTATTGGGATTGTCTCAAAGCCCTCCAAATGTACTCACTAGAAAGAAGACGAGAGAGATATAAAATAATATACACCTGGAAGATACTGGAGGGCCAAGTACCAAATCTACACAGT